TGGGATGGAAGGAAGCAGAGGAAAGAGCAGGCCATGGGCAGGCAGTGTCTCAAAGAGATCCCACCTCCATCCCCCCCACCCCCCAACCTGGGGCTCCAAGCAGGAGAGGGAGCGGTGGAGACCCCGGGCCAGTCCTGAGGGGTGAGGGGAGGGCAGGGCGGCCCACCTTGGCGGTACATGCGCACAGCATCGAGCACGCGGGAGCCTCGGAGCTGTGCCCGGAGTAGGGGCACGTCAAGCTGCAGGGGCCCAGCCTCACAGTGGTCCCCGGGGGGCAGGTCCAGCTCGCTGCTGCTGCTGACCCGGCGTGAGGAGGCGGACCGGGGCTCCCCGGCCCAGCCTTCTGCCACAGGCAAGAAGCAGTGGACGAAATGCAGCTTGGCCTTCCTGATGGTGTCAATGAGGGCATCCTGCCAAAGGGGAAAGCCCCTCCCTCAGTGGGCCTGGACGGCCATGCCCAGGAACGCAGGATGGCCATGCCCAGGAACTCAGGACCCAGGGGACGCGGGTGCTGACCCTGGCGAGGCACTGAGGAGAGGCCCCCGCCAACAGTGGACGTGTCAGTGTGGGATGGTGGGTGCCAACCATCGTGGGGCAGGAAGGGCCTGGGGCCTGGGCAGCCACACTCACCACCTGCAGCTTAACCTGGATGCACAGGGACTTCTTCTTGACAGCCGCCATGCCCGTGGTAAAGGTCTTCCGCATGCTGGTGGCCCGGCGCAAGGCCAGCTGCGAGCCGCCTTCCAGGCCAGCGATGGAGCCCGACAGTACCGTGGCACTGCCCGCCCGGCCCAGAAACAGGTTGCTGATGATCTTTCTGCCAGGGGGAGGGGGGCAGGGAGGGGGGGTCACACTGATGGAGCCATAGGGGCCATTCCGACCCCCAGCCCCCCGTCGCTGTGGGCAGGGTGCTGTGTTAGCTGGGCTTGGGCTGCATGCCCCCCACCCTGGAGACAAACCACAGAGAGTCTTTCCAACCACGAGGGGCAAACCGGGATGGGCAGAAGCTGAGATGTGGGCAGGGAGGAGACAGGGCGGAGCTAACTCCAACCACAAGGAGGGCAGAGGTCAGGAAGAGGGGGCGGTTCCAATGTGGCAGGGAAGATAAGAAGGGAACATCTGCCCACCCCCATACAGCATCTACTCATCACGACCCCGTTCAACATGGCCCCACTTAGAACGCCGACTCGGCAAGTGCAGGGAGTCGCGTTTGGCTCGCTGCTTGCTGCTGAGCACCCGCGGGGTCCCTGTGGTGAAGCAGGGGCTTGAGAACCCTCTGCGGAGTCATTGAACCGAAGACGGGATGGTGGGCCCAAGGGTTCCCTCACCCCTCTGGAGAACGTGGGGTGTTGCCCAAATGTAAGATCACAGACCTCTTCCACCTGGTCTGCCCCCCACCTCTACTCCAGAAGGTCACTAGAAATGGCGGGGGCTGCCTTGTCGGCACGGGGTCCTGAGACGCCCACCCGCAAGGCAAGGGAAGGCAGCCCTAGGAAAGAGTGCCTGGGGACCAGACTCGGGCAGAGGGGTCCTTACTTCTGGGAGTCCTGCAGGAGGCGGGAGGCACTCTGGACGGCTGGGTTCTGCTTGGTGTAGCTGAGCCAGCCGGCTACATTGTACTCTACCCAGTTGGTGCTGTGACCGTGGCCCAGGAGAAAGTGGTGTGGCTTGCTGCTGCGCAGGAGCGGGCTGTGGCCTGGGGGCGGGAGAAGCGGGGGTTCCAGCTGTCACTGTACCGACCCAGAGCCCTCCTGGGAAATGGCAGTGACTTGCCAAGAGAAGAGGCAAGGGGGGGTGGCCTTCTGGGCAGACCACCTACCTTTTTTGTCACCTTCCTGGGGGCCGTAATAGGAGAAAAGGCGCTCTAGGAGGGTGCTCTCTGTGGCCCCTGGCACCAGCGCCTCCTCCTCCAGCAGCCACAGCAGGCCCCTGGCCTCCTCCGTGCGGGCCAGCGAGCGGACCTGTGGGAGAAGGCCAGCCAGCCCACCTGATCACACGGAGCTCCCCCTGCAAACCCACGGCACCTACACCCCCCCCC